AAATGCATCTGTTGAAGACACTCGGATGGACATGTTCTCCATATCTCTCGAGAATCTCACCATCACAGGCATCATATCTGGAATGAACCCACATGCTTGTGATAGGTTGAGCAGTTAACGAAGAAGAACTTCGGCTGCATGTTCTCTACAAGTGTCCGGCCAATAAGAACGCCACAAGTGCTGACCTGGATGCCCTTATCTCTTCCTTCGATGGCGTAACCCTTTGCCTACTCTTGGCCATCGATGCTGACCGTCACCCATAAAAGGCCCTGACCAACATCATTTTGCTAAGAAATGAGAACCATGAGGGCTCTGAAATAACATGCTGCAGCGTTCTACACCTTTACAAATATTCATTACAATTATCTCAACCACGTTAGCACACAACTGCCGTCTAGCAGCCCTAAAGATCTCAAAGGACCCGTATCTAGTGTACCGTGTGGGTAATTCTCAACGTACAGTGCCATGGTCGGCCGCTAGGTTCATTCGTTGAACCGGGCATAGCGGCTTCAGAAGAGTTTTTGCCCGGGCTGGCTTGTTCCCCAGATCATGCACAGGCGGGTAGATGCTGTAAGTGGCCTTTACGACCCTGGTGCAGAACCTTTGACCAGCCCCTATGGGAGTTTCTACTTGTAGTATTCGCAGTTGAATCGCTATTATCTTTTTGTGGTTGTATCGTGATAGTATTCATACTATAGAGAACCAGCTTCAGATATAGGTCTATATGCAAAGCATCCATCAAGCTCACAAGCACCCTGATGAACATACTACTTTGCCATCCATGCTCCACCAACAGCGGCAGCTTGCTTACGCCTGAACTGCACCGTGCTCCGCTTCGCCACTGGAAAAGGCGCTGGAACTTTTGAACGCGCTGCGCAAACCCGACAGAAGTTCCTGCAAAGGTTCCTCTATAAAACCCGAGAACAAACTCCATTCCATTGGCACTTTTGTGCCCCGGAGAGTCCTCTCGGCCTTTTCCATTCTGTGAAACGTTCGATCTCGCCCAACATGCATATGCCGAGGATTTCGGGTCCTTTCAACAATAGACGCCCCGGAACATATAACAGTTGCATTACAGTTTTGCCAGCAGCAAACTGGGGAATGAAACCGGGGATGTTGGACCAAGCTCATCATTTTGGTCATCCCGCCGCTGTATCCGCATCCTCAGCCTTATTGACAACTCTAACTCCATCATTCCATCACTCTGAATCGTATAATTACTTCCTTTTATCCAACAGCGTTTTGTCACATTTTTAAACGCAGTGCCCATATTAGCTCATTACGACTCTACTCGGCCAATAACCCAGAATAGGTACCGGGAGCCACATCGGCCAGCATCCCAACCTGGCCGTTTCCCCCGTGAAATATTAACCTCTACGACCCGAACATGGGGCTACGTATATGGTGCAGGCATATATCTACCGGACACCCCCCAGACATGTGCTTGGGATCGGCACCATGATGGCTTCCCCGCATAGCCAAAAGTAGATATTACATAAATAGAATCCCCGACTTTAGATGGCCTGAGTGTAACGCAATAAACGATGAACGTGGGCCAGTTGGGTAGATCATGCCTTATTGTGGTCTTGTAAGCATCATCTACGGAGTTGAACGAATGCGTGCGTTGTCAAATGGTCTTCAAGGGAGCCTCATCGGACAACCTACGTCCGAACCCCATCAAATCTAGGTTTATAGCGGATTCAGTTTTGCAACATGACCAACAGATATATCCCATACTGTTCGCCGCCCATAGGTTACTTTATTCCACTCCTCCGTGGCCATGACACCCTTGGCGTACTCCCACACCGGGACTGTAACAATATCATCCCTCTCCATGTCCATCAACCGAGCAGCCAGGGCAGTTGCATGCGCATCCAAAATAGTTGGGTAGTCTCCAAAGATCCACGTCTTTCCGTCGTCATTATACTCGATGAGAATATCCTCCAAATCTTGCATCAAGTCTCTAGCTTGCTCTTCTACCAGCTCTATGTTGTCTGGTTCAAGAGTTCGGCTATGAGTTGTATCATGACTATCAGGTGACACCAAGCTGTCAATAATGATCTCGTGACAAATACTTGCGAGAACGACTTACAATACACTCTTAATCTCTAAAGCCCGCCGATGGTTTTCAGAGAGATCTGGGTTTTCCAGTAATGCGGCAGCTTGATTAGGGATTCCGATCCCATGCTTTCTTGTTTCGGGGCCTATTGACAGTGCCATGGCGTGAAAGCTGTAGAGCTTCTCCATAAGGCGCAGGATAATATCTTTGTACTCCTCTGGAAGGAGTTCTGGTTGCCTTTGACACAGCCACCGGGCAATATCATGACTATCGTCGAGTGATGGTGATGATGCAGAAGTCAATGAGGGCACCTGGTCCGGTTCAGTACACAGTCACCAAGTATCACATCTGAGTGAGAAAATTCCAACTTCACGGCTACCCATAAGCGGTACCATGATATAGGGATGGAAACTTATGAAACAGAATAGACGAGCCCACTAACCTGTCCTTTCTTGTTGATCAGCGTGAGATACTCTTCCGAGAAATTCTCCTCCCGATGCAAATTAACGAGCTTAATCTGAAGTCTCGGTGCCGTCTGAGGATTCAACTTCTGTCCCAACACGAATCCAAATCGCGCCATTAAGGAGTAAAGCGAGAACGGGAAATAGTGCAACGTGTAGACGACGTCATCCTGGCGCGCCATGGTGGAATATTTCTTGGGCAGCAAACGGGTATGCGTATTACTATAGCTATAAGACTCTCGAGAGCTAGAGTGTTATTGGAGATGTTGGTGCAGGAATCGGATACTAATGAGATGAGATGAAGATGAAAATGTACAGGTCAGAAGAACAGAATGGATTCCAGAAGCTTAATCAAGCTTCTCCTCCCCCTTCCCCCGATTCCTGCCCCTCGATCTGGGTTGGGCCGAGGCGGAAAAGTGGAGAATGCCGTGGCCGGGCCGGACTCGCCGTGTCAACAAAAACCAAGGAATTCAAGACGTTCAGGGCCGCCCTTGTCCGCTGCCTCTCCCTTCCGCTTGCTGCGCCTCGCTAGTTGAAGGGGGAGAGAGGGGCTTCCGCGGTGCCGGATCATCAAGGGAAGGGGGAAATGCTTGGCCAAATTAAATCGGTGGACCTGAACGGCCGCTGTGGGTGGCTTGGCGAGCTGGGTAGGGGATGGATGGATGTCATGCTTCATCATGCCTATAGGTAGTGCGCATTGTAGTATCTCGATCTACACAAGCCGCTCATGATGAATCTTCCTGAGGTTATCTGACTCTACTCCCGTGCCTTGTACATTATAAGAAGCCTCACGCCAAGGTAAATAGAAGGATGCAGAAGTCTTACAGGGTCTGGCGTTGACCAACATACGTAGACTTAGTAAGACGTGCTCAGACTCCTCCTCCCTGCCAAGGTCAGGACCGCGTCAGTCCTTAGTCTTCCCGCCTCACCGGCAAGATCTGGAGAAACTTGGCCAATGACCTGAATGTCTACGGACTGCGGCCGGGCGCACGGTGATCTAAATTAGTTGATCAGCTGCGATAGGGACAAGCAGGAGAGGATGGTAGCATGTCTCCAGTGCCTCCTTAACTGAGATAAGGTCTATACGGTTCCGGTGCGGAGTATATATCGTTACATGGAGGTATGAGGTTTTATTTTGACATTGGTTGTTCAAATGCGAAACCGGCAATGCCAAATGATTGTCTTGATGTCGTGTTCATAGTGTTGGATGCTGTTGCCGCCCTACCCTATAGACTAATAACAAACTGTTCTGGCTAGCAAAAGGATGTCCGAAATAAACCTGCTTCTTCCTCCTATCGTCGTTTCTTCTTCGATCTCAGGGGCTCAGATCTCCTGAGCGATGCACTAACTCGTGGCCTAGACTCATCCCGTCGGCCTTGCGGAATACTTTAGTCACCGTTCTGCGGTGATCGTCAGGCGCTGGCGAGCTGACTACATTCATGAGAAGGGTTTAAGGTAATGCAAGGAGTTACGCCGCGGAGCATCTAAATGCTTGCGGCTGCGGATCGTACCACAGGACATCGGACACATGGCGAACTTGGATGCAGGGAGACAGCATGCGTGCCCGTATAGATGCAGAAGCTGATTCCTCCAGCATCCAGACTTGCAGGTGCAGCTTAGCTGAACTGCTTTCGTCCGTATGTCAAGCGAGTGGTTGGCAGAAGATCTCGTCTGTCTGAGTCAAGGGCAAGAAAATCAGCGGGACTCCGTATGCCCCTTTGAAATGCAAATGATGCTTGACCTAAAAGTCTTGTTTTTGCTTCGGCAGCTTTAGCAGCGAAGATCTCACGACCGGAAGGCCTGTGAGACATGACTATCGGGATGCAGGGGAGAACAGCCCGATTACCCGCTATCTCTAGCATCACGAAGATAAAAACTTGACTTTGAAATAGAGTCCGCATTGCGTTCAAGAGCTAATGCGTCTTCCCTCTCGAGTCAGGGCTACACATATGTACTGCCATCTGCTACAGTACACAACGACGTTGCACTTTGTACGAGTAAACAACTCACGCCAGCCGGATATCAAAGTCCCAACTGCCGGCCGGGTAGATACAGTCAGCGGATGCCTTTGCGATAGCTGCCGTCGTGTCTCGCTCAGCAGGGTTCAGAGACGAAGAAGAAAAGAAAAAGCACGTATTGCGGTCGGACGGTAGGGCTTGTTTTGAGGCGGAGCATTCGGGAGCACAGGCTAAGACATTTCCTAGCTGAGGTGGATAGTAAGCAGGCAGAAGCAAACTCTTTATGAAAATCGGAGTATTTGAGACATTCGGTAAGATTTATGGATGAATTCTTTTTGTCAAGGGGTCTTATTTACATGGCGTAAGACTGCTGGTAATGGACGTGTTGAGAGTGAAGTGGTGCTTGTAGAAAATACGCTGTTGTCGAGTAGCACGCATTATCCGACGAAGCTTGATCTCTATAGGCGGGCCATGGGCAAGGCACAAAAGAGGATTTTTGCTTCGCCGGAATTCGTGAACAAACTCGAAGTCGTCTAGTTGGCTATGGCGTTGGACTGTAATGGAAATATTAGCAATCCAAATGTCGGCGGTTCGATTCCGTCCTTCGAGATTCGCCTTTGTTTTTTGCATCTCAATTTTTTTTGCCTATATAAGAAGATCATATCAAGTACTCTTCAATGGTACGTGTTTGGTATGGAAGTTTCAAGTTTGATGAATAGTGTGATGATTCTGGCACCGAGCTTGAGTAGGTAGTCATCATGGAAGAACAGTTCTGGCGTGGATATTACACACTCTCGGATGACCCATCGAGGCCCCCCTAGTTTCAAGGGAGGCGATATCTATCGATAAAGATGATTCTCGTTGGCTACCCTTGACCATGCGAATGAAGTGAGTCCAAAGATCAGCAGCGTTCGGGTCAGGTATGTGAATCCCCACCAGAAGCCCGAATGTGCGGAATTAATGATAAGGAATGCATGCAATCATACTTTGATGCGCTGTTGCTATTATCCAACCACGATTGAGGCTTCCAAAGGATTGATATCCATGAGTACGGGGTAGTATTCTTAGAATGAAGGCGTCGCTTGACTTGATTGCTGCAACGCGACAACAGGGATGTGTCTCCAACTGAAGGCGGTGATTTCCACACTCACACTCATTCAATATGGCGCTTCTTTCTTGATTGGCCACATATGTGTCTGCAACAATTACATCTCCTCATTTTCAATACCGGCCAATTGATCTTCAACTTGGAAGCGACGGCATGGAAGCATCCGGAGTAAATATGACTGAGATTTCATCAGCGGGAACAAAGAAAATTAAAATGGACAAGGGAATGGACATGTGAATCTGAAGCAAGCCCTGACGCATGTGATGATGGGCAAACCCCGAGCTGCAGGAACGGAAAAGAGGTCCACTATAATCCATCGGGACCTGCATTAATGCCCAGCGTGAACCACTTTTTGAGTTGGTCTGACCAGCTGCGAGTGGTGTATATACGTATATACACCCGAGGGGGATCCTCCTTAGAGGGAGGCGTAGGAACCATCTGGACTCATTCCTACGCGACATCAGCCTCCACCAACTTCGGACGACGCGAACAGGGCGCGCCGATGTTGATGTTGTGTATGAACGGACTCTACGGCGGAGATGCAGTCCGTAGGTATTACTTGTGTTCCTGCAGATGAGGTGGGCATGACAACGATCCTTTGAAATGCATCTACTAATTGGTAAGCCTCACTGAATATGTTGAAATGAATTGGTCAATCTCGACCGGCGGCGTCGGTAATGAGGAGACCCAACGGATGCGGCAATAGAGTATTTTACCCCGTAATTGTATCATATAGACTTTCCAGCCTGCTTTAATGACTGTCAGATGCCGAGTCCTGGAATAAGGTACTGACGGATTCTTAAAGGAGCCCGGGGATAATCCCGTCTGAGAAATATATGTGATTGAAATTCCTGCCTGTTCGCGTATAGTGCGATAGTGCTTAAACTCGAGTCAATTGTCGACTACTGGACGCGTAATTAGGAGCAACGTGGCAGACAGCCCGTCAGAAAAACGTTCCGGGAGGTTGTCCGGAACAGTTGTCGTGATTCGCTGATGACAATCACAACCGAGCGGATTACAATTTACACAAAATAAACTCCCATGGGAGAAAACGGTTATCTATGACGATATGAACCACTGATGTGATGTCGGACTAATGCGTGGCTGCTGAAACTCCAATTTCCCTCTTCCAAGGATTGATGCGGAGACGGGTTGGGTTTTTTGAGTGTAACGTGCCTGGAACATGTTTGTGATGATGGCTATTTTTGTATCCTTGCAGTTGGGGGAGAGAGAAGACTTGTTGTTCCTGTTAGGTAGCCCGTATCGCATCGTCATCTGTCATGCATTTGCCGAGACAGAAAGACAGACAAGAGAAGACAAACCCTGGACAGTCCAATGTTAATTACAGACAGAGTGTCAGCAAACCCCCGGTGGCTCCGTGACCGGTGCCTGTTTGACGGTACCGAGAATTGGATTACAGCGCTTGCAAGGCTCTAAAAAGCTTGTCAGAGCCCACTAAGCCGCTTTAATTGAATCGTGTCCAAGGAAGAAACAAATTCACAGGACAGAAAAGGACCATTGATTTTTTTCATTCTTTCTTTGACCTGCAGGGGGAGGGGAGAGAGAGAAAATGCAGGGGAGGCACTTAAGCTCGACTTCTGGATTCTGACTAGACTCTGACTAAAAAACATTGGACTTTGTCAGATGTACTTGTAGATGATACGAGCGATAAGGAGTACCAGATGGTCGGAATCAAAAGTCTCCAGTACGCTGGCTTGCAAAGTCATGTTTTCAAAATCCAGGTAAAAAAGCATGGGATAAGGAGGATAGCGATGGCCAAGCATCGGCTTCGCGGCCGGGCCTTGCCTTGTTCGTGATAGTGCATTTCTGATACGAAAAAAATAGCAGGGGTGGCAAAACCCGAAACGACGTTTCTCTTTTTCTTTCTTTTCCCTCCTTTTCTCGTACAAGCGCAAGTAGTTGTAAGTACCTTGTAGGGAATGCTTTGGATAAGGCAATACCAGCATAATGCTTCTCGATTGTATTGATATTGATTATTTGTAAATCAAAGCCCGAGTGTCTTGATTGTGCAATTAAACTGCTAATATTATTGATACACTGATATCCCTACCCGTGGCTGTTATAGACACAAGATAATAGTACCGTATGTAATAGCCAGGCAAGACAAGACAAGACAACAGTATCACAGGTACGGAGTACAAGTACAAGCATGTTCCATCGACCACGCAAGGGAGTCGCCTTCAGCCACGATTAAAGTGGAGAAGAGCTTGATTTCCTGCACGGGCCGCATTGGAATGTCACGGCCGTGACGGGATGCTGCGATGCATGGGCAGCTGCAGTACCACCACCACTTGCACCAGATACAACCAGGTACCACCAAGGTCAAGGGCAAGCCCATCTGTAGCTAAAGCTGTCTTGGCCGTGCTAAACCCACATGGCGCTGTGCCTTTTGATGCAGGAGTTTTTGCGCGCTATTGCAAAACAAATTATTTTCTTCTTTGCTTAACAAGAGTGTTTTATAGGGAAAAGGACACAGAGTGGGTGTGAGTGTGAGTTTGTTTGGTTTGGTTCAGTACCCAGACCTGGTAGAATCCGAGACCCAGAACGTTCTGATTCCGGCTGCTGTGTAAGCGGAAGTACCTGTACTTTCTTTCTTTCTTTCTTTCTGAATGGGTGACCACCTGCCGGTTTTGATGCTGCTGTTAGCTGCAGGTACGAGTGGTCTAGAGCTGCTTCGATTGACTGACTGCCCTGTACTCGGGATGTTGAATTGAAACAATTTCTGATATTCCGAATAATTACATTGCGATGGATGATGTACGAACCGTATTCAGCCTTGCAATTGATTAGACACTTGTTTCCTCAGCCAAGACAATGGCCCACAAACATTGAGGGTTGAAGTGCTTCAGCAGCTTGTTGATCACTGTCAATCCTAACAAAGCTTCCATGTTTGCCTCCACCACCGTTGGCAGCAGCATCAACACCCGCTAAAATCCACCATCCAACAAGAGTACCACACCCACCTAGACTGCTCTATACATTCTCTCGTATAATCCCTTTGCGGAGTACATACATGCATAACAAGCGCACTGTCAGCAAGCAATATTGTTCGGAAGATTTATTGACAATGCCTTGATCTTGATTCCAATCCAATTGGCGACGTCAACCATTCCTACTTGTACATAGAAAGCAGGGTTAGGGGAGACAAAAAACAAAGACGGCGTTTGTACTTGTACGTTAGCATGTAGTCTACCTACGTACTCCGTAGTAGTACCATAGTGCTCACCACCGTGCCTGGCTCTTCAGTGACCTGCCTGCTATGCTATCCATTGCCAGAGAGTCAAAGTTCAAAAGTTGTCTGTCATCAGCACAACATCACATCGGCTCATGTCTCTCCTGCCTTGGTTGCTTTTTCTTCTTCTTTTCTTTGCTTGCTTGCTTGTTTGCCTTGCGTGTATTTTCCTGACCCAATATTTCCTCCCTCTCTCCTGTCATCGTCAACCTCCTCTAGCTTCCTCCCTCTCCTTCCCCTCCCTCTTCCTTTCCCTCTCTTTCTCTCTCTCTCTCTCTCTCTTTTCCGCCCTCCCTCATTTACCTCTCCTAGCAGATACGACCCTCCCTCCCCCGGCGCGAGCGGTTTCCCTAGGTCTTCAAGGGCATTCTATCGACACCTAGAGAACTGTCTAACCCAGGTCAGGTCCTCTGACAGGCCCCTGGAACCGCTGGCTGTGGTGACGCAAAAAAAAGACTGGGGTTTTTTCAACAGGTGTGCCCCACGCAAACGAACCAACGCCCTCCTTGCTCGGCTCCGTCCAATACCATACCATACCAATACCATACCAGCAGCGATCAGCGAGCATTACTGCGCGAACCACTACTGCGTCTTGTTTACTGCCACGAGATTGACAAGCCCCAACCCTGATTATTTGCCCTCGAGAAGGAACACGTTTTTGGGTTTCTTTACATGAGGAAAAGGGGGAGTACGATATACAAGTTCAAGGTGTCTAGTACCTCTGCAAAGGACCAAGACGGTGACTTTTTTCGACGGAGTGTGGTACCTTCTGGAAATCTCCGTGCTGGAGCAGTGGAGTGCATCCATTTTATCGACGTGCCGAGAGCTCCGAAACAGGCACTACCTACGCACATCAGCAGCAGCAGCAGCATCACACACGCACACGCACACAACAAGGCAAAACACCCTCGCCTCGCCTCACCTGGCCTGGTCTTGGTCTTGGTCTTGGTCTGGGTTTTTGGTCTTGGACCTTTGGAACAACAAGGCTGGCTCCGGGACTATCCATCCATGGTCTTTACGGTCCACCATACATTCGAGCGATTGTTTACCCTCCTCCCTCGTTCTTTTTTTTTTTTTTTTTGCTAATACTCCTACTACCACTGCCACCTAATTTACTTACATTCGTTTCTCTCTCCCTCCACCTCCACCTCCACCTCTACTACCCCTTCTCCATCAATCTAATAGACCCGCAATCCGTTTTTTGAACAACAACACAAGCGGTTTTCTTTTCTTTTTGGAGGGTCTGCGC